TAATAATAAACATGATTCAATATTTAAATATTTAAAAGAGGAAAAGAGCAGGTGCCTGCCAAGAACAGGTGTTACCAATTGAAGGTTAAATAAAATGCAACAATCCTATCCATGTGTTATTTCCATAATATACATCAGAAATCATACTCTGCACTAGTATGTCCCCAGCTGTGCAGAAGAAAAGCCTTTTGTCACGCGTTTTCTGATCTGGTCTTGTTTCTAGAATTTACTTCCTACTTTGAATCAGAGAGTTCAGGTTTGCTGACATTGATGGGATTCTCTAAATATCATGTTGCTGATCTCACAGTGATTGTCAACAGAATTATATTTGCAGTGTGTAGCTTAGTGAGTACCTGCAAAAATAATTCAGCAGGCTGCCCAAGGATGAAGGATTTGCCCGTTTGACTTTGATTTTTATTTTTAAAGCACATAAGAAATTGATCGCTGTCTACTACTGACCATGATTGCAATCATTTGAAGGAGACGTGCCCTGTTATCCAAGCCTTTTCTCTATTTTTTCAATGGGTCACTTGAGTCCTGGGAGAAAGGTTACTTATGATAACATTAGTGAAACCATTTGGCAGATGGAATAATTTGATTATCATGTATTTTAACAAGCACTACCCAAGCAAGACAATGGTGGGAGATGGAGATTAGCAATCATCCTGTGCAAAAAGTCTTTTCCCTCCCTGCTTTCCCTCCACAGCATACCCTATAAGTGACTCACAGCCTTATCCTTCAGAAAACCCTTCTCTTTGTACAACATCCTAACACCTAAACCCATGGAAATAATTTTGAACCACCAATGCATTTTTACATTTTATTCACTTAGATAGCCAAGTCCCTGTGTGTGTGTATATATATATATATACACAATGTAAGTGTACATGTTGACACATTTTCAGTGACATTTCTTGAGGGAAAATCTGTCATCATTCTGTGAAACAGAACTCACATGTGCCTAACCTACATGATTCTACATCTGTATTAATCTAGTGTTAATTTATTGTCTTTATGTATCATTGCAACTTGACTGCATTGTTCTGCACATTTAGCTGGATGATAAATCCACACACCTTGTTTTACTGCTAGTCATAAACCAGAAACAAGAACTTCACTTCATATGAACAGGTATCGCCTATAGTACACTCTATTTTGGGAGGTGATGCTACATCAACGTCATGCTTCCATGAGTACAAGATGGCACCCTGTGAAAGACATCTGAGCTTAATTATAGAAGCTAAAGAACAAGTTGCTTTCATCACTTTCTTGGAAGCCTTTAGAACCGACCTGCCATCTCATGTTAACTGAATAGTGTTTTCAGAAAGAAGAATCTGATTTTATTTGCATGCATATCTCAATACAAAGTACAGACCAACTTCTTTGAAGTTGTTCTTCAAAGCACCTTCAAAGGTGAGTCTCTAGTTTGTAAGGAGATATACATGTAAATAGAATCAGACTCAATTAACTTTTTAATTTGCTTCTTTAACGATGACATTGTTCCTATTAAAATACTGTTACCCTTGGAACACTTCAGTCAACATGCATACACAAATGCTACCACTGTAATGCTTGTTGGTGTTGTCAGAAAAGTCTTATAAAGGAAGAAAAAAGCATTTTTTGGAACTGTGAATCATTATCACAATACGAACTTATGCAAAAGCTCACCTAAATGGAAATGATCCAAATCCAGAGCTTTTCTCCCTAGTGTATGTATGATACATTCATTTGATTCCAGGCAACAATGTTATCTGCAACAGGATTTGTAGTATCAAATCAACACCACACTACCTTTGATTCTTTGCTCTTAACTTATTATTATCTTTTATAAGAAATTAATTTTTCACTATAAAGTTACTTACACTATGAAATCATACAATGAAGTCTGATGCTTTCCCAATTATCTCCCCATGTAGGCTCTGCTAAATCAGATATAGAAGTAACAGAGACATTTAAATAATTATTGTAGCATCATGCAGGATGCAGTGATAACAAATGTAGTTGAAGTAAAACATTATCTCTGTGCTAAAACTGATGGTAGATCTTTTCTGGGGTGTCCCAGAGAAGTCACACACTGTCTTTATTAGAGTAACTAAGTTAGTATACTCAATGCCTCATACCGAGAAACTAAACAGAAGCAGGGTTGGCTGTGACATCCAACTGCATTTGAATCTAAAAGTAATTTTATTTTTAAAATGCTTATCTTAGTGATGGAAAGATTTTCTCTTTATTTAGAAACAGTGCAAAGGACATTCTATTTCAACTGCTTTGGCAGAAACAAAGTATAGCTTGTCACCTTCTCTCCTAACCATCAAACCTCTTTGCTTTATTCTGCACGCACAGAACACCATTAATCACCGGGGAAAAAACAAACCACACCTGCAAGGTGGGTACATTTACTTGCTCATACAGCATGTGAGAAATGAGCAGACTGAACACAGACATTTCCCAAGTTACTCTGCAGAAACAGTATTTCTCTCATACAAATCTCTCAAATATCTACACAAATTCATCCATATTTTTTTCCTGCTTTTGTAGCCCCCTGTACATATGTGTGTGTGTGTGTGTGTGTGTACACACGTGTGCAAATGGAGATTTTATGTGGGCAGCCCTATGGCTGAGAATGTGTGACTGGCTTCCAGCCTATGTGAACTTTGCTAGCTCTTGTTTCCCTGCAATGCATGCCAAACTAGATATCAGAAGCCTTTTGTATTAAAGAATCAAAGAGATGGTAAACAACTGTTTCTTCTTCTCTACCTGTCCCTTAAGTCTTGTACTACCACCTTTTTATTTAATGTATCTCCAACGTTACAGTTCTCTTTCTTTCTTCTCACTTGCACCTATTTCCTATGAGACTTGTAGCTTACAGGTAAACACCCCTAGATTATTTATTTCCATAAGTGACCTGCCAGTGTGTCAGTGACAGTCTCTGGCACAGATCTCTGGCAACAAAACTGTTAGCAACAGATCAGAACTGATCCAGATCCCTCAGGCCCAAGCTGTGTCCTGCTGCAAGGAATTCCTTTCACTGCAGTGACCTTCAAGTGGGCATTCAGTCCCTGTCCTTTGCCTGAGAATCACTGCAAATAAAATCTCCCTTTGACAGCAACGCCTTTTTGAAATCAAAGCAGCCAATCAGTATCACAACTGCAGCATCCCACAGAAGTGTTGATGAGGCACTGCTACATCTAGTAGCCCCTTGGGTCTAATTCAAGATCCATAAGAAGGTTTGGGATCAGGGTAAAACTGGAGAATCAGGTTCTTGATATCACATAAGGTCTAGACAGGGGAAGGGAGGCACCCTACCTGCACACCTGTTAAGCCATGCAATAGCTTTATATTGAGACACACCCTTTACAATACCAGTAAAGCTTCTGGCCAATGTTTTCACTTTGGGTGATGCAGATTACGCCGCTCTTCACAGCTGCTGTGTAAATAACATCTGAGATTTTTAATCAGAAAACATACAGTCAGGAACAAGACATTTCTTAGGTTAAAACAGAGATCTCATTGCAAGTAGAGGAAATTAAAGTTGACAGACAAGTTGTACAGACAGTTGGTAAGTTCATCTCTCTAGGCAACAAACTGCTGTCACACGGGGGAAGATGTCTTGAATAACCAGCCATAGCTAGGAAAGATGTGCCAAGCATTCAAGTCCTCAGAGCCATCAATGACAGGGTATGAAAAGACATGGTATGACCAGAAATGCAACCGAGTTCCTCTACCATAGCGACAGCACCAGGAGACAGATGTATTAATTACTAAGGCTAGGTAGGCATGCCATGCTAATGTTGCCAGCCTGGGCAATTAAGTTCCTGCAAGCCAAGTACTCGAGAATCAGGGCCAGAGAAGGCAGCGGCATCAAACGAAACGTGGCAGCAGGGAACTTGGATCAACAGCCCCCCTAGAACATCTATCCCAGGTATCAACCTGCATGACACAAGAGCGGGTCCCTCCTGTCTACCAGACCCGTTACCTACCCTGGCTGCTCCCGGACCGAGAGCGCAGCCGCCGGGAAGGGAGCAGGGAGCGCGGGGAGCCCAGCGCGAGGGGACGGCGCCACCTGCAGCGCGGGGCCCGCGCTCACCAGGGCGGCCACC